AAAGCCGGTCGTCTTAGTTCCTTCTTTCAGTGCATCCCAGTGTGACAAAGACCATGCAGGGACCGAAACTCCTCCACTCCTCAGGCCCAGGGGAAGAGGGGACTAGAATCCCAAAACCTGCTGGTTCATACCCACTAGGAAACATAAAAAAGAAATGCTACAAATCTTGCTCGATTTGATTTGCTGAGGCCCGAGTGCTTGGAGGGTTTTGTGCCAGGCCCCTGTGTGGGAGGAACTGAGCTTTAAGGCTACACCTCGGATCCCAGTCTCTTCTTAATGGGGATTTTCATAGAATCGAGTTTATTTGAAATCTTCTAATAACATGGTGGCTCAGTGCACACTGCTGGGAAAATAAACGTGGGGGGTGCGTGAGCTGCGTGGGGAAGCGGCTGTACTGCTCCAGGGAGTCTGGGCTCTCTGGATGCTCTGCTCTGCCTCCGCGCCCAGGCACGGGCGAGCTGCACTGCACGGGGCGACAGACCCTGCTTCTAGGGGCACGTAACTCCTGTCCTGGGCAACGTGACTGGCACGTAGAAGAGCTTAAGCCCTGGAGAAGGGAGGCAGCACGTACTTGGCACTGCGTTTCATACGAGCATGGGTGTCTTGTTTTTTTCAGATCATAGGCTACCGCCCTGGTGCTGGGGTCCCCGTGAGCGTGGACTGCAAAGTGCAGGTACTGCTTTCATTTGTGCTCGGCAGCGTGGTGCGTAGAAGGCCAAATGTCTCCCTCTGGTAGACCCCACCTGTATCTGTCCTCACTTGAGCCCCAAACACTCACAGGACCCAGCACTGCTGATGCCTCTGGGCGCAAGCGGGGGCCGGTCTGCTGAGAATGATGGAGGCCACCAGTCTTCTGCTTCCCACTCTGGCCCTCGCCCTCTGAGCACTGATGGCTCCTGCCAGCCTCACCGGCCGCGCTCTGCTCAGGCCCCGAGGGCAGGGCTGGGTGCTGGGGTGCCAGCTAGAGCTGGGAGCTGCGGGGGAAGCAGCAGAAGCTGCTCACATCCATCCCCACCCTCTCCACAGGACCCTCGGTCCAGGGGAGCACCCTGCAAGCCAACAGCCGGAGGGTGAAGGAAGGGCCCCCACTGCCCAGGCAGCAGCTGGGTCATACCCTTAGAGAGCGATAAAGCAGCAGGCCAGTGCGGGGAGGGACCGACAGGCAGCAAATTCCGTAACCCTCGCCTGTGCCTTCACAGCACCGTTGCGCTCTGGCCCGCTGCAGCAGCGGCTGGCTCTCGCCGCAAACGCACTGCGTGCAGGCAGGCAGGTGCAGCTGAGCCCTGACGTGGATTTGCGAGAGGTCTGTACGAAAGCTCCTTCGCCGTTCTCTGAAGAGAGCTATATTTTGTGTCACACGTGTTACGTGTGTACCTTTATTTTTTTTTTGCCAATCACAGAAAGGCAATGAGAGCGATCTCAGGTCGGTGGACTTCTACCCTGGAAACGGGACATTTGATCTCATGTATTATCCCTACTATGGCAAGATCACTCACGTAAGTAAGGACCCCGGCATCTTTGGCATGTCTCCTTGAGAAGGAGCTGCTGCAGAGGGTACAGATGTGCTTTCTGGCTATTTTGGGCAGATGCAGGCAGGAGGGAGGCCACGGGCACTGGGATTATAGCACTCTATTTCTGTCTCTAACAAACTGCAGGAAATCCTTGGGGACTCCGGTTCCCCCTTGCCAGTGATGGAAATGATTAAATTTATCTGGAGACTAAGACTGGCTTTGCTAACTCCCAGAGAAGGTCTCAACACCGGCGTTTTCCCAGGGCGTTAGGGAAGTCAGGGGTTGGGTGACACAAGGGAAGAAGGCTGGGGCTTCTGCCAAAGCTCTGACAAAACCACTTCAGGGTGGCTCAGAACAGAGCAGACCAACATTGGTGGCTATTTCTGAACACGCTGGCCAGCGCTGCTTTGTCTGTGCTGGGCTGTACGGTGTTAGGAGGTAACACACCTTCACAACAGAAGCTGAAATGGAAGAGGCGGCAGGCACTAGACTCCTATTGCCAATACTGCCGCTGGCTGAGGATGAGTAACAGCCCCAGGCGCTGGGTCTACGTGTCCTTCGAGCACACAGGTCCGAGGAACACCACCGACTTCTTAGTACACGTCATAGGTTGGTTTTTAGAACCGCAGAAAGTATTTGGGAGTCCCATTATCCGGTGCTACTTGTCCTGGCCTGGCTAATCAATCCAAGGGGCACGGTGCAGTGCAAAACTCTGACGTGATCCCGTCCCTCTGAGGCACAGGCAGGCTCAGCTTCAGCATCCCAGGGACCATGATGGACATCAGGCAAACGCACTCAGACGCCTGGTAACCGTGAACCCATCGCTAATGATTTTTACTGGACAGGAAAGCACTGCCTGCTTTTCTGCTCCTTCAAAAATTACACTTCAATGTCCCTTCTTTTCAGGTCAACTATACATCCCCACTGGTGGCTATGCACTTCACAGACGTGAAGAAGAATTATTTGGTCCCTATTCAGTGCAGCCTGAATGGGAAAGGTATTATCAACGATCTTAACAGTGACCGCTTCCTGGGCCGAATCATCTTCACACTCAGCATTGGAAAGTAGCCACTGCAAACACTGGCCACTTGGGTTAAGTCAATCAGAGGCTTTTTCCTTTTTAAAGCATAAAGCCAGCATTTTTTTTCTGCTAGGAAAAAACAGGCACATGGAGATTTTTGTTAATTTATTTTTGTTCATAGTTAGAAAACAAATGAGATATAATGGAGTGTGGAACTACATTTTTCATAATCTGATGTAAATCATTATTAGTAAAAATTAAAACTTATCTCCTGGGCAGAGAGCCTGCAAAAGCATCTCAGTTTTGATTAAAAAAACCCCTCTGGTATCTGAACACTATTTTCTTAAGGTCTTTTACAAGCGACCCCTGTGGAATGCATTTTTCCTGGCTTTAAAATTTAATCTTTACCATAGTTTTATGTGCATTTCTCAGGCAAAAGCTAACAAGAGTGTAGTTTATTAGCACTATTCTTGTCAAAATAATAACAAAAATTCTCAACTATGCCTGCAATGACACAGTTAAAAAGTGAAAATGGCAGATCTCAAAATGCCTCCTAGGATCTTCAGCACCAGGAGCATCTCGACTGCAGCTCATTCAGCACACCCAAGGTGTTGGAGCAAAGGCCACATAGAAAATCATTTGCCCTTGAACCTTTGCAGCTGTTCCTTTCTGAAGTGGGAAGATGAATGCATTTCTCTCTCCTCCTCACGCCAGTACTTCTCTCTGCCCCAGGCATCCTCATCAAGTCTATGAGGCAGGTTGGAGGGCAAGGACCTCGTCGCTCCCTGTCACGGCTGGGAGGCTGACGGCTCCTTCCCCTCTTCATGCACGGAAGTGCCAGTGAAATGTGTTAGACCCCCCCAAATATTTCAGGCCCGTTCTTCCCTGTTCCAGAGAGGTCACAGCTAGAATGCTACACAAAACCAGAGGGAAAAGCTTATTTGTTTCATTGTTAAAGGGGTCAGCACTGGTATTAGTGAAATCATCAATTTCTCGTCCTGAAAGACCGATGAAGCATACCCGCCCTCGCCAGAGCAGAGTGCTGCTAACCTGCAACCTCTGCTGCCCGGGCCCGTACGGCCTTCGTACGGAATGGAGACGCGCTAGTCTGCATGTTACAAGCTACGAGACCACAGCGGGAGAGGACACCTTAGGATAATGTGCTAGTTGGAAAGCACACTTACTAAAATTACTGACTGAACAAGAGCATTATGGTATGTTCGTCCTACATCCTAGTCCAGGTACTTAATTTGCCGTCGGTTCCTATGTAAGTCTCTAAGAAGTAATTTTTTGTATTAAAAATAAAGTGTCTATAGTAAAATTAACTCTACGGTACCATTCCTTAAACACTGGTGTAAGAGATGCAGTTTGTGACTTTAGCTCCCTGTGCCAGCCTGTTAGGGACTGAATTTCAAAGCAGCATGTAATGTGATCCTTGAATTTTGAGCACTTTATTAACCTTCTAGGGCCAAAGAGTTCAGAAGCCCAGTACAGTAAGACTCATTATACGCTGAAGTATCACAACCAGCCATCGGGGAAAAAACTATTTATTAAGAACTGTTAAAAGGCTGAACCAGAGGTAGTTTAGGAACTAATGTTGCTTAGATGCGGTTGTCCGTATGATGCTGATAGAGCTAGGGCAACACAATCATTCTGCCTACACACCTTACCTGAAAGGGCATGCTGTCAGCAATCAGCTTCTGCCGACGCTGCCGGGGTAGCAGCTCTTCCTTTGACATTAGAAATAACTTAAACCCACAATTGTTTCCCTACCTGCCAATTGCTTTAGCACTTTTAAAACATTAATATTTCTGTAGAATGCTGAAAGGAAGCCAACCCCACCACGCTTCAGGCCACAAAATTTAACAGCTCTCCAGCTAGCAACAGGGCAGAACTGTATTTGTATCTTTTATATATATTCCCTACCTGCCAAGTGGAAGGATTCATGAAGCAGCTGGTACTTCAGCAGATGCTGGACTCATGCTTTGATCCAATCAACAAAGAAAGATCAACTAATTAGGATGTAAATACATGAACAGCTTTGAAGCAGAAGTTTGTTTCCTCACCAACACCCAGATCCAGGCACGCTGACAATCCCATTGGAAAACCTCTCAGAAATGGCATGCGTGTCTACTTACACTAAAGCAGAGCTTTATAAACACCATAGTTCACTTTATTTTCCATACACGTATTCTGCTTTCAGCATACTTGTACAGTCATTTCAAGATTTGGAGAATTGTATACACCACTCTTCATGCTACAACAACCTTGAAGTGCTGGGTCAATTTTTGACTTCTATTGAAGCCCAAAATAATATTTTTTATGTATATATAAAATGTGTATATACATGCATCTAGGAAATTGCCACATTTTACTAAAATAACCTAGCAAAAGTGATGCAAAATACTTAGATCTGCAATCTGAGCATGAAACCATGGCTGGAACCCATCTGCTGGCAGCAGAGAAGGAACACATTCTGCTAAGCAGGTGTTACTCGGAAATTGCCAGGCTCAAAATAATTCACCATTTACCCCTCTGGCAGGGAAATCAAGTATTGCCAGAGCAAAGGTACAATGCAAAAGACCAAGACAACCAAAACACACAGTCCAACTCAGCAGCATTAAATTACACTCCTAAAAAAACCCGACAACTTGGTCGAAGAGCCCATATGCGGTACAAAAAGCAGGTTTGTCAGATTCAGGTAAAGCTCCTCTTTGGTCACAGTGAGGATGAGAATAATTGAACATCCAGGTATTTCTCAAACATCAAAACAAACTCTTTAGAAATCTCCCTTCCCTGAATACGTAGCTATTGAGAGTTACTTAAATATCACTGTTGACTGTGTCCTTTGTGCATGGAAATAGCAAAGGTGCTTTCTCTACAACACAGACAGGCTCAAATGCACAAAGAGATTAAAGTAGCTTTAGTAAACACTTGCTGCAGGGGACAGAAACTTTGTGCGCTGTCAGTAGCTCTCTGCAGACCTGGCAGCTCTTCAGCTGTCCCACAGTGGGAAATCGGGGTTCACTAGCTGCAAAAGGCTTTTACCAAGATGGACCAAAGAGGCTGAAAGAGCAAGAGGCTTCTTTCATCCTATCAACATGAACCTGATGGGAATGAAGCAGAACACAACCACAGATGACTAGTTTCTATGTTGGTACAGTTTAGATGTGGAACATAGAATTGTAAAAGGTATGGCTTTAATAACAAAGAAAGCATCTTTAAACAAGTCAGATGCTCTTATTCCTTTGGAAGTCACTTTCTTCACTATATATATATATATATTAGTTTCTGCTTTATGGTCAGCATTCCTCATACTAGAAATTTTGTGCTTTTACACTATTCAACGTTTTTGTTTGAGAGCAATAATTAGGTTAAAAGCAGATTAATCCTATCAAAACAGACTGGTTTTATATCTTCACTTGTATTCCTAGATCACAACTTTTCAGTGATCCTGTTAACCCATGAAAGCTGTCCAAAGGAATTGCAGGAGTCTCTGAACAACCTGTGTTCTTAGCCAGTCTTTGAGATCTCTCAGAACACTCTTGAGCCTCACACGGACCAGCGCTGAAACGCTGTGCAGTTTCTTTTATGTGCACAGAACCAAAGCTGAGACAAAACTGCAGGCAGTGAAATTCCAGCCTCCCACCCTCGTTTCACAATTGAGCTCAGAACAAAAGGGAAAACACAGTCAAACAAAACAGCACAAGACACGTTTCCTTCAGCAGACTGTTGGTTTTTCCGAGTAGTGAAAGTTCTCCAGGACTGAGCCTTGTCTTAGCGAATGAAGACATTGAAGACATCATGCTAGTGCAAAGCTATTTAACATACATTAGCAGTCAACTTCTACATACTGATGTTAAACAAATCAGTTTACTAGAAGAATCAAGTGTTCTTCTCGTATTGTGTTACTTTATTAGTGAGATCAGGTACTACTTTTACATTCAGAAGGAACAGGAAATCCAGAGTGATTCACAAGGACAAGCTGCTAATGAGACCTTTAATTATGGTTTTAGCATTATCTGAGATAAGCCATAGGCAACTAGAAATTTTCTTGTATAAAAAGATTAAACAACAGAAATGAAGTTTCACAGACGTCTTCTTTACTCAAAATAATCACGTTTCTCACATGGACACACACCAACCCCACTCAAGTCTATGGTCCTCAGAACACTTACTTTCTCCAAAATCATACAGTAGCTTCAAGTAATTCTGCAACTCATCTTCAGGCTCATGGCATGTTATTCTGCTGTGAAGTGCTTTAATTTGATTTAATTTTATTTTTTTTAAATAAAGAAACTATGAATTAATTTGTTTTTCTTCTTTTTAAAGGGGCAGGTAAGGGAGTCTGGGAAAAGGAGAAGATCAGGGAAGGTGGCAACTGAGACAGAATTAAGATATTATACAGACTGATAGCCAGTACGACTTTTTCTTCTTCCAATGATATAAGATATAAAGACAAGAATGATAAGGAAGCCAAGTGCCATGCCCACTGCGATGGGAATAAGAAAGTTCAGGTCAGAATCAGCAAAGCATTCTTCAGCTGCAGAAAGAAAAAAAAAGCAAGGGAGAATAAATTAGTAAAGGAAATCAAGCGTTAGAAACCAAAGCAAGCAAGGAGCAAACAGGTGTTTCAGAGAACTTACACTGTATTAGATACAATAATACATCTAAAGTAAAATCAGTATTGAATAAAGAATTGATGGAAAGATTGATTTCTTTAAACATATACATTACGCACATCATTTGTACCAGTAATGTACCACTTCTGATTTGTACATTTAGTTTCCTCTAGCAAGCAGTCCACACCGATTAGAAACACGAGGACAAAACAGCAGTCTGAGCATGCGTTAGCCGATCATACCTCAGAGTTAACAGCAACACAGCAACAAAACCAGACAGAATGGTATATTACTGCCTTGTCCAAGTGACTTCCCAAACCCTCGAGTCACCAGCACTTCTCTACGTTCTAGACAGGCAGAGAAGTAACAGACAGCAAACCAAGTAACAGAGTAGGAACTTACTCAAAACTGCAAGAGACAGCCAA